TGAGAGAACTAAGCGTCCGATTTAAATGAATCAAAGAACTTTCCGCTAGTCTTAACAAAATAATGATTTTGAAAAAAAAATTTGTTCCGATTTTTTTTTTTTTTTTTTTTTTTTTTATTAGTATTTTGTATATCGAAAATATTTCAGATTTATTTTTAATTCTGACTATAGTTCTAATATACTTTACAAATAATTTCAACTCTGCAATTCGGTTTATATAATTCTTATAAATATTACACAATGTTACAATATTTATAATAATCTATTTGAAAACATTCAGTATTCTTCGAACATTTCGTTACGGTGCGGGAAGTTCCAGCAATTTGCCTTAAGGCACGATGCCATAATTGCCTCAAGACAGAATTCCACTTACAGCTAGTTTTATTAAAATTAATCTAGCAGGGCTGTCTTGTTATTAGTGCAGGAAAATCTGGCAAGGACAATTATCACTTGGCAACATATTACCAGGTATATTTCCAAGTGAAAACCTTTGTCACTAGTGCTTGATAACAGGCAGTTCGAACCCGAGACCTCTTAATCAAGACCCATCGCTCTTAACAGCTTGCCTAGGGGCGACCTTATAAAAATACTCTGATAATCATATTATTTCGGTTTAAAATAATTAAATTTCCATTTAATATTTATTTGGCAACATTTACATTGCAGATTTAAAACTATGCCATTTTCTGTAAAATGATAAGATAAGACTAAAAACTCGCCAACTGATAAAATTTGCAATATAGCAAGTGCAACGCATTATTCATATGTAGAGTTCTTCTAATAACTCTAATTAAGAGATTCCGTTCACTGAGCGAAACGACCGACATTCACGCCATTTATTATTATTACTACTACTATTATTATTATTGTTGTTGCTATTTTAATTGTTATCGTTAAGGCAATCCAAAGTCAGTCTTTGTGTTTTATTAATTGTTGCAAGTAGTCATAATATAAATAAAGTTTGCCGAGGAAATCTGACTCTCGAGGACGTTGGAATCGTATTGCATTGGAAAAGATTTTGATTTAACCAGTTCAAACCAAATTTGCCTGCAAAGTGCATAAATGCACCAAATAAACATTTAAAAGTTCTCAAGATATATATAAGATAGATAGATATAAGATAGATAGATATAAGATAGATAGATATAAGATTTTAATGTTAAATTAAAAATATCTGTACTTAAATTTCTTTCCATACAATAATTTATTCTTTTTAGGTGTTTAAATTATTGATATAACTTTAGTAGATTTTCGTAATTTTTACATCATATATATATTTTATTATATGCAATAAACTACTCCGAAAAGGGCTAAACACCTCCGCCATCCTCAAGAATTGTTATTTTTGTCTTTCCTTTAAATTTTATATTTAGGGTAAGTTTTAAGAATTCTAATATTTCCAAAATATCTGAAAATTTCAACAAAAATCTCTAAAGTTGTTTGACATCTCTCAAAATTTACAAATTTTGCAGAAATCTAATAATTTCAAAAAATTCCAAAAACCACGGAAAAAACATTACAAAGTTTGCTTTCAAATTTGCAAATTATTTCTAGACTCTATTTTTAATTTATCCTAATTATTTGCTATAAATATAAAAATTTGCTCTAAATATAAAAAATTTTCAATAATCAATAATATTGATAGAATTATTTATTCTCACATACAAGTTGCATGTCGTGAATTTCGTTCCGCATTCGATTTCTGGGAATCATTCATTATTATTCATTCATCATTCTATTCTCGGAACTAACTTGTAATTTCTATTAATAAAAATACAAAATGATATATGTACAAAAAATATGAACATATTGCACTCTTTTTTGTACTTTTCGTTAATATTAAAGCTGTGAACGTTTCGAGGCTATGGTTTGTGTCATCATAATTGACACAAACTATAAAATATATGAATAATTTAAATTAAATATGATTAAGAAGAGAATGATTATTATTTGTATTTGTGTATATATATATATATATTCCATGTCATTAAACAACAAATGTCTTCTGTTCATAAACATTCAATATCGTCATGCTTTCTACACATCTATTTTTATGCATTCAATGACTTCCAATTATTTATCATTATTTCTTTCTAACTAATTATAAAAAAATACTTTTGTTATTGTTATGGAAGAAACACATGTTCAGATTAATGAAAACAAGAGTAAAACATTATCATTAGTTGCATTCGTACAAGATAAATGAAATTTCTCATTGTTAAGATTGTTAAAAAATTATAGTTATACAAATTGTGGTTTCTTTTGAAATCATTCATTATTAAAAAAATCATCACTTTATTTTCAGAATTAACTTACAATTCTATCAAAAACAAAAGAAAACATAAAAAATACTGCAAAAATTCAAGTTTGTATACGTATGAAGGACGGTGGAAGTCCAGTGGTTTAATAAAGACAAGCAAAACGTAGGATTTGAAATTACCTATATTTTTATTTAATAAATCAAATCTTTTTTTGAAACTAATAAACAGTATTTAATGAGTTAAGAAATCTTCAAAAATCTTCATCGTTTTATTCAAAAAATCTCAATTTTGTTTAAATTGTAAACATTTATCAAATTCTCTAAAAATTCTCATGTTTAATAAATTTCAATAAATTTTACAAAATATATAATATTTTTCTGCACATTTTTCAAAAATTTCTAAAAATTATCAAATTCAGAATTCCATATTTTTCAAAATTTCCAATTTATTAGTAATAATTTTTCAACTAAAAATTACAACATTTTTTAAGAATTAAAAAAATCTTAAGGGTGGCCACTTAGGGGTACCAAAAATTATATCAAAATATGAAAACTAAATCAAAGGTGACCACTGATGGACATAAAAAATTGTCGATTTTCAGTTTTTGAATATTTTTGAAAAAGTTGAGTATTTTTTTATATTTTAAAGAATGTCTGAGCATAGGAAAAATTTTACAGTTTAAACTTCATAGTTTCAAACTTAATTGTTTGAACTGTAATTTTTTTTCCATGTTCAGACATTTTTTGAAATATCAAAAAAGTACACAACTCAACTTTTTCAAAAATATTCAAAAACTGATATAAACAATTTTTGGTACTCCTTAAGATTTTTTGAAAAATTCTTGAACCAATTACTTTTATTTAATTTTTTTATAATTCATAGTTAAAAAATTCATACAGCCCTAAATTTTCACTCTTTTACTCCAAACCCTTATTTTATAATAGTCATATTATTTATCAAATCATTTTTCAGTCAATGAATTTAAATTCTAAGTTTAAGAAAAAGCTCAAATTTAACTTAAAAAAATATAAAGAGAGGTCAACTTGTAAGAACCTGCAATTAACAACAATCTGGACAAAACTAGAAGTTTTGCAACAAAAGGGCTTGAAACAATATAAAATTGCACAAGTTTAATAAAATTGTAATGTAGGCAGAAAAACTAGACTGCAGGTAAAATTTTAACGGTAATTTGATCATTTTTTTATCTTCCTAATCACATTGGACATCTTTTAATCTCCAAAATACACAAATCTGCCTGCATCAGACACAACTTTTGCATCGAAGGAACTTGAAACAATAGAATAATATACATTTAATATACAAATTGTAAGTAGAACCTAAAAACAAGACTACAAGTTGAATTTTAACAGTAATTTTATCATTATTTTAACTTATTCAAATTGAACAACTTTTAACTTCCAAAAATATAACAATATGCATCAGATTACAACTTTTGTATCGAAGAGACTTGAAACAATAATAAAATAATCAAGTGTAATAAAATTGTAATTTAAACACAAAACCAAGACTGTAGATTATATTTTAACAGTAATACCATCAGTTTTTTCACAATATAATAGACATCTTTTAACCTCCAAAAATACAACAATCTGCACCAGACCATAAATTTGTATCGAAGAGACTTGCAACAACAGAAAAGTACATGAGTAATATCAAATTTGTACCTTAAACCTAATACCAAGTCTACAAGTTGAATTTTAACAGTAATTTCATCATTTTTTTCATCTTTTAATCTACAAAATACATTAATCTGCACCAGACTACAAATTTATATTGAAGAAACTTGAAACAACGGAAAAAATACAAAAACAAGATTGCAGGATAAATATTAGCAGTAATTTAATCATTTTTATCATAACTTTTCGTTTTATTTATACTAAACATATTTCAACTTCCAAAATATAACAATCTGCATCAGACTACAAATTTACATCGAAGGACTTGAAATGACAAAAAGTACACAAGTAATATCAAAGAAGTATCTTAAACCTAAAAACAAGACTACAAGTTGAATTTTAACAGTAATTTTATCTTTTTTTATCTTATTCATCTTGAACAAATTTTAACCTCCAAAAATACAACAATCTGCATCAGGCTAAAAATTTGCCTTGAAGAGACTTACAACAATAGAAAAGTATACAAATACTTTTACTTTATCATAACACAGTGGACTATATTGGACAAATATGACAATCTGCCTAACTTTTCATCGATGGAACTTGGAATGACAGAAAAGTACAAGAGTAATATTAAAATTGTACCTTAAACCTAAAAACAAGACTGTAGGTTAAATTTTAACAGTATTATAGGCATTTTCACCATAACTTTTCGTTTTATTTATATTGGAGAATTTTTAACCTCCAAAAATGGAACAATCTGCATCAGACTAGTAATTTGTATTGAAGAGACTTGAAACAATAGAAAAGTACACGAGTACTTCTACTTTATCATAACACTTCATCTGAATTATATTAGGCAAATATAACAATCTGCATCAAACGACGAATTTTGCATCGAAGGAACTTGCAACTATATATGAGTTAGATACAAATTGTACCTCAAACCTAAGAAAACAAGACTACAAGTTAAATTTTAGTACTTTAATGTTAACTTTAACCTAACCTTCACTTACAACCAAGTATTTTACATGGGGGTGCACAAAATGACAATCATTACAAAATATCAAAGCAATCCATTATCATTATCATTATGACTTACTTGACATTTTTCAAAGTTCTCCTGTTCGATTTCCAAGCTGGTTTTCTTATTTTGTAACACTCTCTGCAACGACAACGAAGCCATAATACGGATGCATAAATACAAACACTAATAACAAATAAAACAACTAACAAAATCAAATTAATTACTGATAATTTTGTACTTTGTAGTTTTATAATTTGTACACAACCTACAAAAATATTTATTATTTTGACACATGAGTTCTCAACACTGCAAAGGCGCTCCTGTCTCTTTGTGATGACTTTCACTGTTCGAGTGGGGATAATAATAATAATACACTTTTATGGTAATTCAAATTGTAAGTGATTATTGGTAAATGGTTTGTTATAGTTTTATTTAGAGTTTTGTGTGTGAATTAATTGTTATTTACAGGTTTTTGTGCAAGTTTTGCGAAGCACAACAAACTGTTGAGTGCGCTAACGTATGTCCACCTAGCGGGGGAATAGGAACTAGAAATGCAGGCGCGAAATTCAAATTTATAAATATATTTTTGTTTATGCAATAAATTAACAGTAAAAATAGCAATATATAGTTAATACTTATTTGTTTATATATATTTATATCCAAATAAGCACGTCTATTAATATCAATCATTAATTTAACTGTGTGACATTTTGTTAAACAACGTGAACTTAGCCACATTTGTAAATATTAATTCAAATGCGTAAATTCAAATGAATTTTTGTTTATTTCACAAATTAACAATAAAAATAGCAACATATAGTTAATACTTATTTGTTTATATATATTTATATCCAAATAAGCACCTCTATTGATATCAATCATTAATTTAACTGTGTGACATTTTGCTGAAGCAACATGAACTTAGCCACATTTGTAAATATTAATTCAAATGCGTATATTCAAATTTATGAATTTTTGTTTATTTAACAAATTAACAATAAAACCAGCAATATATAGTTAATACTTATTTGTTTATATATATTTATATCCAAATAAGCACCTCTATTGATATCAATCATTAATTTAACTGCATGACATTTTGTTATTAGCAACATGAACTTAGCCACATTTGTGAATATTAATTCAAATGCGTTAATTCAAATTTATGAATTTTTGTTTATTTAACAAATTAACAATAAAAATAGCAATATATAGTTAATACTTATTTGTTTATATATATTTATATTCAAATAAACACGTCTATTGATATTAATTTAACTGTGTGACATTTTGCTGAAGCAACATGAACTTAGCCACATTTGCAAGTATTATAAATAATTATATAAGAAATGTAGCCGCGAAATTCAAATTTATGAATATAGTTTTGTTTATTTAATAAACTAACAATAACTAAAGGTGTATGGCATCGTGCCTTATTAAGGCAAATTGCTGGAACTTCCCGTACCATAACAAAATGTTCGAGAAATATTAAATGTTTTCAAATAGATTATTATAAATAAATACTGTAACATTGTCTAAATATTTATAAGAATTAAATAAACTAAATTGCAAAGTTGAAAATTTTTGTTTAAAGTATATTAGAACTTAAGTCAGAATTACAATTAAAATCTGAAATTTTATCGATATATAAAAAAACTTTTTTTTTTGAAAAAAAAAACACATTGAAAAATATAAATTTAAAATAATTTTATTCCCAAAAGCAATTATTTTGTCAAAACACGCAGAGAGTTTTCTTAATCATTCAAATCGGATGCTCCGTTCTCTCAAAAACTCGATTTCTATTTTCTGTACTCTTTGCTCCGTATCTCCGAAACGGTTGGACCTGCCTTTACGAAAAACTAATCAGCACATATCCCCATCAGTTGGAATCGAATGTTTTTTGAACAATTTAAATCGGTTGATCAGTGCGCCCGAAATCGATGACAGAAAAAAATGTATCCGCACACCAGCACACACACACACACACATCCATTTTTTCTGAGGTATGCCTAAATGTTCAGTTTTTGAAAAAACGTCAAAAAAGGTCAAATTTTGGCTCACGACTTTTTCAAATTTTGGTGTCAATCGATTCAGAATTACTAAAAACATCAAGATAATATAAAATAAAAAACTGCAAACTTAATTTGATTTATTTTACATTCCTTTTTATTATTTTTTTTATTATTATCTTGAGTGTGTTAAAATTCTATTTTCATAATCTAGGTTTATATTTATTTCGTTTGTCAGTAGATTTATTTTTTTATGCTCCAGTAAGCTATTATTATTTGCTTGTCAGTAGAGTCCTCATTTTTATTTGATGTTAACATTAATAAGTTAACGTTAATAAGAGAACAAGAGGACTCTCGAGTGCACTCGAGAGTCCTCTTGTCCTCTTATTATGTTCCCGTTACCTTTCTGTTTTCTAATTTATTATTTTATTTGCTCTCAATTTTTATACTTACATAAAATATTTTGTTTAATTTAATCATAGTATATTTTTAAAAAATATATAAATTATCAACAGTTTTAAAATTGTATTATTTAATTTAGTTCTATCTCCGGCTTGACTCCTGGTGTGTCGTACTTGTAAATGTTTATAATACGTATAGTTCTGTATCACATTGTTTATCCAATCTTCATACTAAAAGAGAAAAAGAAAGAAATTAATAAGATCTGATTTTTCTCTATTTAAAATATAAACAAAAAATAATTTTCTTTAAGAATGCTTTTTCACTAATTTCTTCTATTTTTATATTTCTGCTTTAGCACTACTTCTTAGTTTACTCGTCAGTAGAGTCCTTTTTCTTAAAATTCAATTTGCTCGTCAGTAGCGTCCCTTTTTCTAATTTAGTTTGCTCGTCAGTAGAGTCCCTTTTTCTAATTTAGTTTGCTCGTCAGTAGAGTCTATTTTTCTAATTCAGTTTGCTCAGTAGAGTCCCTTTTTTAATTCTAGATTAAGTTTGCTCGTCAGTAGAGTCCCTTTTTCTAATTTAGTTTGCTCGTCAGTAGCGTCCCTTTTTCTAATTTAGTTTGCTCGTCAGTAGAATCCTTTTTTTAAAAATAGAAGACAAACATTGCCAATTTTCGTAAAATTGAAAATAGAAGTCCGAAACTATTAATTTGAGATTCTATTTTATAACTTTGGGATTTTGCATTCGAAAATTTTCCCATTTATAACCTAATTATTTAATAAAAGCATAATTAATGTTTACATCATTGCCAGATATTTGATGATTATCTGTAATTTTATCGGCAAGTAACTGAGAAAACTCAAATACTTGCCGATTTAGTTTTTTATTCCTTTTTTCAGTTTATTCCTTTATTTTTTAAAAACGCGGGAGATTCCGGGACAAAAGAATGAAATCCGGGAAAAATATTGCTTTTAGGAAAACCCGAGACACAAAATAGAAATCCAGGACCTCTCATTCTATGTCTATTTCTCATACTATTTCTCTTTCACACTGAATCTCATTTTTATTTTTGTTCATGCAAGTATTTATTTGATACTTATTTCTACTCTTTAAATTAAATATATATTTATTATATTAACCTTATCAACTCTTGTGAAAATCGCTGGAACGTTCTTTCTGGCACAACCGATACCATACGATACAATTCCTTGTAAAACATAATTTGTGTTGGAGTGACTCGAATCCCAAAACAGTGGACCTCCGGAATCACCCTGTAATAATAAAAAATTATAATAATAATAACAAAAATATTAACAATTATAAAATAATACTTTATATGGATAATATACAAAAAAATGTGCTCGTTTAAGGGGGTTGTTCGGTTTTTATTTATTTTATTTTCGATTTTGAGATTTTTTTTATATTATGAAAGCTAAAAACTTCAGAATTATTTAAAAAAAATCATCTCAATATCTATTTTTTTGACGAAGTTATAGATATATATATATCTATATGTATGATCCTCTGAAACCGTCTTTTTCATCGCTCCGCGAGCTATTGTATGACAGCTGCTCTCTTTTTTATTATAATACCTCATGCACATGACCTTTTTAATGTGTCAGCATCTTTGAACACCATGATGTATTTAGTACATTAAATTAAATGGTGTATTTAGTACATTATATTAAAAACTTTAAATACGTTTTTCTCAAAATGACTTTTTTTCAATGCGGTGCAAAATTGATCACGTGATTAATGGACGTCCCCACACGTGTATTTTTAGTTACGTAACAAAATCGTAACTTTTAGTCTATTATTTTTTTGAAAATTTAGGTAAAAAATAAATACACTTGATATTTTACTAGAACACCCCCCCTCTCCCACGTGATTTTTTGTTAACCCTCCCTGTGATTGATGGACTCAACCTCATTATAAAGAGTTATGGCTCACTATCCATTTTTTATTTAAATCTCGTTATATTAATTAGGGGGGTCCATTAATTACGTGATCAATTTTTAGAAATTTTCCCCCTTTTCCTCCTTATTTATAGATATTTAAAATTACCCCCACCCCCCTTCCACAACACAACACATGTATTTTTAGTTACGTAATAAAATCGTAACTTTTTGCATTTTTTTTTTGAAAATTTAGGTAAAAAATAAATACACTTGATATTTCACTAGAATCCTCCTTCCCCCATGTAATTTTTCATATTTTTTTGCCAACAAGACTCCCCCCCCCCCCGCCTTTCCCTAAAGTGATGAATGAACGACTCTTATTATTTATTGCTTACAATGCAGGCGTCCTTGGTTCCATTGGCGTACATGGTGCACATTTGGGTGTCGGTCAAATTAAATCTTGGCACGTGCGCCTTGCACTTGCTCAAATTCAACAAAGGCAATTCGACTTCTCGAAGATATTTCAAACGGGTGTAGGGTGCAGGAGCCTCTGTAAAAATACATAAATAGTTGAAAAAAAAACAGGGAACTGAAAGCCGAAGCACAGGACTAGGAAAAGAAAATCATCGATTTGAGGTCCTGCCTTCGGGTTTATTATAATAATTATATATCTTATATATAAAAATAGAGCTCTCTTTCAAATGTCCAAGTAAAACTCGAAAACGGCTGAATCGATTTGGCCAGTCTTAGTCTTGAAAAATTCGTGCCATACCAGAGATGGTCGGAAAGGTGAGATATTATTTCAAAATCGCGTAGAAACTTTACTATTTTATTTGAAAATGTTTGTAGAAGCGTCATTTAAATAAAACAATGGACGATGGCTAATACGTCAAATGTCAAACATTTTTCACAGATGATGATCAATTGCGTTTAATAGGATGTTTTATGTGAATATTATTTAATTATGATTAAATTGTAGTAAGTAGTTTTGTTTGTAGTTATATTTATATACAAAAACGTTAGTAAACGGGCCGCAAGTGTTACTAGAGACTCAAAATATAAACTTTTTTGATATGTTAATATGAAAATGCACTTTTTGGCATATTTTTTTCAAACACGGTGCTCTGAAAGATCTCATTTGTATAATTATATACTCATTGGTATTTATAAAACATTTTCTAGGTTATATTATTTTTAATTTATGTTATTTAAATTCAGAACCTGAACTTGGTATCGATCAAAGGGACATTTGGTCGATTAACATTTTCCCAGTTATAATTTCCGAGAATTTATCGAAGAATAGATACAAATATATGAAAGTCCGAGGTTAAAAAAGTCCAACACCAATGTATCAAAAATCAGTAAAGTTAAGCATTATTTAACAACAATATGTGAAAGTAGAGGGAAAAAGATGTATAACCAGCTATAACTTTGATTCTTATGACTGCTATCGAGAGATAAACGGTAATCTTTGAAAATCCATAATAAAAGTATTTTCTTCTGTTGGTAGTTTGTTAGCATTAGTTAAAAATGTAATTGTTTTGTAAAATGCCTTTAAAATTAAAATAAGACTTTAAACCTGTTTGCCATCTGGCCGTTACAAGTTACTCCTTCTATAGGGTAAAAAAAGTCTAGATAACAAATTTTTTAAAGATCGCAAAAAAACACCTTTCTACAATGATAAAGTAGCTGACAGTTTTACTGAACGTAGTCAGATAATTGTTCGTTTAAAATGTCTTATTTGGTTGTCAAATTAAAATGTGATATAAGGTTGTCAAATATCTCCCTTCCGCCTTTTTGTATTATAAACCAAGAGCAAAAAAGCGGAAGGAAGATATTTGACAACCTATTATAATTGGTTTGATTTATATAATATCATTAATATTTGCTCAAAGTCAAATTGGACTTTACCTGCTCTACATATATACTTTTTATTAAATTTACTTTAATTCATCGAATGTTACTTGAAACTTTTCAAAAAGCAGGATAAAGAAGAAATACTTAATTCATTTTTTATCTCTCCTCGCAGAAATTTGAATTTTTTTTAAAGCTCAGTAATATTATTTACAATTACACACAATATCCAGAATCTAAAAAAATCTGAAAAATTTAAAACGTAATCAATAAGTCGAAAGACCAAGAAAGACTTGGATTGGATTATACCATGTTTTCTGTAAAAAGTGTATAAATCTTCCAGTTTGATTGTGTTGACAAAATATAGACAAACTAATGGCGTTTATTGTTTTTATAATGTCTCAATGTATATAGGCATTCAAACAAACAACACATCCTTATACAATTAAAGTATTATTATTTTTGATTCTCTAGAAATTGTTTAGAATATACCTCACTTAGCAAAACAACGTTTGCCGGGTCAGCTAGTATATATATAATATTATTATTATAATTATATATAATAATAATAATAATAATTATTATTATTTTTATTTACTTGACGAGTTCCTCTGCTTCGTCTGTCCCCATCCAATGACGATACATTTCGCCCTAAGATCGGCAGCGTCGGCATTCCGGTTTTCAGCAGCAGTTGCAACTCGGATCAAATTCACGTAAGTGGTCAACTCGAATTTTTTGTTGACCTAAAAAAAACACAACTAAATACTTGTCTTTTTAAAAAAATAAATCCATTGTACCTTTATCAGTCCGATATCGTTGGTTATCGGTTTGGTGGTGAAATTTTCGTGCCTGATTGCCGCTTCGACGTAACGTTTTTGGCTGCAAGGGTTGCGCTGAGGGGCGTGCACGTTGTTTTGACCTCCGAGGAGGGTCATATTCCTCAAACTAGAAAAAAATACACATCAAACTATTATATAATCTAGATATTCAACACTAGTCAAAATAAACAACTAGCTATTACGTAATCTAAGTATTTTGGGAATCAAGTAGACCATAAGTTTTGAAAGATACAAATATTTATGTGATGGCATTTTTGTACAGTTTTGATAATGATATATTTTAATACATTTTTATAAAACATAGAAATATCTTTTTATTAATTTACATATTTGACTCCCACAATCTGAATCTTATTTTGTCCAAAATGGGTGTTCCTCAAGGGTGCGCTTTGGGACCCCTTTTCATTTTCGATACTCAAAATCAATTAAACAATTTATATATGCATAACAGACCAATGTCATGGCAAGGCTATGTTATGAAGAACTTTCCATACTTAATATTGACAAAAGCCATGTGTTTGCTGCGCAGTTTTTCTCAGGTTGTTAGATAGAAAACATAACCTAGAAACCGCACAAATGTTGAAAAAAACGAGAGTCTTTCTGACCCAGCTTCATAACATACGAGTGACGTTGCAGTTTATGTTTAAAACGCCTGAATGCACAGCAAAGCACATGACATTTTGACAGTATTCAGTATAATTCAGTGACATGATGCATGTAACACATCTAATTGTTACATAATCTAGATGTGAATCTTATTTTGTCCAAAATTGGTGTCCCGCAAGGGTGCGCGTTGAGACCACTTTTCATTTTCAATCCTCAAAATTACTGAATCAATTTATACTATTTTATGAACCAAATCTGACGCATAACAGACCAATGTTATGGCAAGGCTATGTTATGAAGAACTTTCCATACTTAATATTGACAAAAGCCATGCGGTTGCTGTGCAGTCAATCTTATTTCTCAGGTTGTTAGATAGAAAACCTAACTTAGAAACCGCACGAATGCCAAAAAAACTAGTAGTGTATGGCATCGTGCCTTAAGGCAAATTGCTGTAACTGCCCGTACCGTAATGAAATATTCGAGAAATTTTAATTGTTTTAAAATATATTATTACCAATACTGTACTGCACTTTCATTATTTTTGCTATCTTATTGTTATATCTGAGCAAATCAAATATAAATCATAAATCATAAATCAATTTATCTCCAGAACATTAACAATCGTCATTTTATTTCATTTCGAATTCAATTTCGAAAAAATAGTTGTCTAATATTTACATAAAATTGAAAAAGTACTCCCGCATAGTCACAGTCTAAACGCATTTGCAAATAATTCTGTGCGACATTTTCACTTATACTGTGCTTAGCTTGGCGGCATTTTCACATTTTTCAATATTTTCAAAATATATTTCATTATGGTACGGGAAGTTCCAGCAATTTGCCTTAAGACACGATGCCATACACACCACTAGTTTTTTACCAGATTTAAAAAAAAATCCAAACATTTACAAAAAAAGTCAAAAGTTTTACCATTTTTTTCGTTAGATAACAGGGTCTTTCTGGCATTATGCATGTAACATGGCCTTGCCATAACATTTTTCAGTTATTTATTAATTTGCTTAATTTGCACAAAATTGAAAAAGTGCTCACGTATAGCCACAGTCTAAACGCATTTGCAAATAATTATGTGCGACATTTTCACTTATACTGTGCTTGGCTTGGCGGCATTTTTACATTTTTCAATAGTTGTTTTCACAAAATTGGAAAAGTGCTCCATTACATAAACAGTCTAAACGCACTTGGGTAAACATTTGTACCGGAGTGGCGCTTAGACTGTGCTTAGCCCGGGAAATTTTTTCAATTTTTGATAAAAAATTACAAAAATATTAAAATTACATAAGATACTGACTTGGCCTGGCTCAGGCAATGCGCCGCCGTCAGGATCCATTCATCAGTAATAAGAGAACCTGCACAGGTTGATCTATTGTTCACCAGCAGGCTGATCTAGAACACATAATAATAATAATTATTATTATTATTATTATTATTATTATTATTATTATTATTATTAACTTCCCGTAAGGTAGTTATAGTAATGGGCCAAACATCGAAAATGAAAATTTTAGCATTTCTCGACGTTTTGAAGGTTTCTGAACATTTTTAAGGGCATACCTCAGATAAAATGAATGTGTGTATGTGTGTGTGTATTTTGTATGTCCGCATTTTTTCGTCCACGTTTTCGGGCGCACGGATCAACCGATTTGATGGAAAAAATGACAGTTTTTGAGTGAACCAAAGCGTCCGATTTGAATGATCTAAAAAAACTTTCTGCTTGTATTGACAAAAGAATTGCTTTTGAGGATAAAAAATTATTACATCTTTTTTATTTTCCATAAAATATTTTTGTAATTTTGAATTAAAAATTCAAAAAATTACCCAGGCTAAGCACAGTCTAAGCGCCACTCTGGTACAAATGTTTACCCAAGTGCGTTTAGACTGTTTCTTTTCAGTCCTTTCTCTTATAAAGTCTTACATTTGACTTTTGCTCGTTGGTAGAGTTCTTCTCTAACAAAATCCAAATTAATTTTACTTTATATTATATTATTTTTTTGTTGAAGTTTGCTCGTCAGTAAAGTCCTTTCTGTTACAAAATATTACGTTTGACTATTGCTCGTTAGTAGAATTCTTTTCCTTACAATATTTTTTGTTCAACTATTGCTTGTCAGTAGAATTCTTTTCCTTACAATATTTTTTGTTCAACTATTGCTCGTCAGTAGAGTCCTTTTCCTTACAAAGTCTTACATTCGATTTTTGCTCGTCAGTAGAGTCCTTTTCTGTTACATAATTTTGCGTTCGAATATTGCTCATCAGTAGAGTCATTTCTCTTATAAAATCTTACATTCGACTTTTGCTCGTCAGTAGAGTCCTTTCTGGTACAATTTTTTTAGTTCAATTATTGCTCATTAGTAGGTCCTTTTCGTTATAAAATCTTACTTTCAGTAATTGCTCGGCAAAATTTTAAATTTGCTTGTCAGTAGAGTCCCTTTTTGTTTCGCCATTTTAATTTGTTCGTCAGTAGAGTCCCTTTTTGTATAATTGGTCGTCAGTAGAGTCCCTTTTTTTATGGACATTTAAAATTTGATCGTTAGTAGAGTTCTATTTTGTATTGACATTTTAATTTGCTCGTCAGTAGAGTCTCTTTTTGTATTTCTATTACAAATATGCTCATCAGTAAAGTCCCTTTTTGTATTAGAATTTTAATTTGCTCGTCAGTAGAGTCTCTTTTTGTATTAAAATTTTAAAGTTGCTCGTCAATAGAGTCCCTTTTTGTATTAAAGTTTTAATTTGGTCGTCATTAGAGTCCCTTTTCTCTTAAAATTTTAATTTTATTGTCTTGTACTGTAATGATACAACTTTTTCAATTTTGTGAAAAAAACTATTGAAAAATGTGAAAATGCCGCCAAGCCAAGCACAGTATAAGTGAAAATGTCGCACAGAATCATTTGCAAATGCGTTTAGACAGTGACTATACGGGAGCACTTTTTAAATTTTGTGTGAAATTAGGCAACTATTTTTTTTTTAAATTGAATTTGAAATGAAATGATGATTGTTAATGTTCTGGAGATAAATTGATTTATGATTTATGATTTACATTTGATTTGCTCACTCAGATATAACAAACAAGATATAACAAAAATAATGAAAGTTGCAGTATTTGTAATACCACGTTTAAAATTTCTCGAATATTTTATTACGGTACGGGAAGTCCCAGCAATTTGCCTAAAGGCACGATGCCATACACCACTAGTTATTATCATTATTATTATTATTAACTTACAATAAACGGATACTTCCTAATATCGATAACTTTCCCTCCGACGATCCTGCTGATTCGAATTTTTTGTATCAGGGTATCAGAACATTTGTTCGAACTGGACACTAGAACAACCGAAGACAGGACTAAAAAAATTACCAACAAATTAATAATAAATGTGACACTAGACCAAATCTCATTGACATATTTTTTGACTGTGATGAAAAAAATATAATTCAACTGTTTTGTGCTGATCGGAATTTATAATTGATATTAATAACATTTGGTGACGTTATTAATTTGGAATTGAAGTAGTAAGGGGACTAGTGTGATAAAAATATTAAAGAAATCAATTCAATTTCAATTCGTTTTTTTGTATAGCGAAGGAAATGCATTTTTGCATTCCAGACTAGGTCTTTTGTGTGAGTATGTCGGACTCCGCTTTGCCCTTGCCTCTGGTCCCCATGGAAACCGCTGTTAAGCATTACTTCGTGGGGGGGAGGATCTAGAATGCTATATAATTCTTGCACTACTTTTATACTAATTTTTTAAATGAGCGTAGTCACGTTCCCCATTTCTCTTTCGATAGATCGCAAGTCAATTACCATGTATCCACGTGTTTTTTATTTTGTATAGTGAAGGAAATGCCTGTATGCATCCCAAACTAAGTCTTTTGTCTGGGTATGTCGGACTCGATACCGCCTGTGTATAATACCGACTAAAACCTTCGCTTTGCCCTTGCCTCTGGTCCCTACAGAAACCGCCGTTAGAGATTACTTCGTGGGGGGAGGATCTAGAATGCTATTAGAAAAATAGAAACTAAAATCTGTAAAAGTAGTCATTATTGTTCGATTATCTGATTTTTCTTCTGACTGCCTGATCCTTAACTTTAAAAATGTAAAAACTGGTTACAGAAATCCTTTGTGAAGAACGTTCAGATGAATACAGAGTTTTGCAAAGTTTTTTTTAATAATTTCGTTTTCGGTACGGGAAGTTCCAGCAATTTGCCTCAAGGTACGATGCCATACACCACTAGTTTTGTATAGCGAAGGAAATGCATTTATGCATTCCAGACTAGATCTTTTATCTGGGTATGTCGGACTAAATAATGGTTCCCAAAGGCTTTACTTCGTGGGGGGAGGATCTAGAATGTTATCATTCTTGCACAGGAATTCACTAAATGTATTTTGGAAAATGCCTCATCGAAAATATTTTTAGCATTATTGGCAAGATTATACTTGTAATTATACTCAAAATGTTACTGTAAGTGTAATAGCAATTCTCGGTTACATGTTTTATGTCATATGGCAACACTAAGGAGATAACGTTAACAGACCAATGTTAAGCTCCAACTTGCATACATTATGCTACTGAATCATACTGAATACTGTTAAATGTCATGTATTTGCTGTGCATTCAGGTGTTTTACACATAAACTGCAACCTCACTCGTATGTTATGAAGCTGAGTCAGAAACACCCTGTTAACTAACATAGTTTTTTTAAAATTTGTACTTTTTAATTTAAATTTGTAGGTTAGGTTTTCTATCTGACAACCTAAGACTTTTGTCAATATTTAGTATGGAAAATTCTTCTTAACATAGCCTTGCCATAACAATTTTCTGTTATACCGCAAAATCGGTTCATAAGTCAATAATTCACAGCTCTCTCATTATTGTTTACTAAATTGTAATTGTTGAGAAGTGTTTAAAAATTCCAAACTAGATTATATAACACGCTAAATAAATAAATAACATAATGTTGTGTCAAGAAAAAATAAATATAAATATGTTAAGATATATTGCCAAAATGGTGATTCAGAACGACCAATTTTAAAAATTCAAAAAACATTTTACTTGTATTGACAAGATGAAGATGTGATTAAATTTTTAGGGAGGCAGGTCTAGCGGTTTCAGAGATCTTCAATTGGATCGATTCAAAAAACCTTTTTCTTGTGTAGACTGTGTGCAAGAAATGGTTTTACAATAAAATTCGTTCAAAAAATTTAAAAAAAGTCAAAAATTTCGAAAAAACTTCAAAAAAGTTTAAAAAAACTCAAATTTTCGAAATTAATCATTTTCCAGAAAAAAAAATCAAATTATATTATAATTAAAAAAAAATCTTTTTTACACAAATTTGATAATATTTCGAAGTATTAAAAAAAAATCAAATATTTTCAAAAACTTCCAAATTCTCATATTGAATATTTCTCAATTATTGATAATTTTTCTTCCTCGAATGTTTACGGTACGGGAAAGTTCCAGCAATTTACCTTAAGGCACCTAGGACAAGTTATTGTAATGGGCCGAAAATCGAAATTGAAAATTTTTACATTTCTCGACGTTTTGAAGGTTTCTGAACATTTTGGCATACCTCAGAAAAAAAGGATGTGTGTGTGTGGATACAAATTTACAGTCACGTTTTCGGGCGCATGGATCAACCGATTTGAATGGTTAAAAAAACATTCGATTCCTAATGATAGGGAGAAGAGCTAATTAGTTTTTGGCAGAGGCAGGTCCAGTCTTTACGGAGATATGGAGCAAAGAGTGCAGAAAATAGAAATCGAGTTTTTGAATGAACGGAGCATCCGATTTGAATGATCTAAAAAACATTCAAGTAGTAATGATTGGGAGAAGTGTTAATCAGATTTTGGCAAAGGCAGGCCTAGCCATTTCGAAGATACGGAGCTAAATGTGCAAAAATGGCAGTTTTTGAGAGAACTAAGCGTCCGATTTAAGTGACTCAAAAAACTTTCTGCTTGTGTTAACAAAATAATTGATTTTGGAAAAAAAATTTTTTGTTTCAACTTTTTTTTCAAATTTTTTTTTCAAACAATTTTTTTTTGTATATCGAAAATAATTCAGATTTTATTTTTAATTCTGACTATAGTTCTAATATACTTTAAACAGATAATTTCAACTTTGCAATTCAGTTTATATAATTTTTTATAAATATTAGACAATGTTACAATATTTATAATAATGTATTGGAAAACATTCAGTATTCCTCAAAAATTTCGTTACGGTACGGGAAGTTCCAGCAATTTGCCTTAAGGCACGATGCCATACACCCCACTAGTTTATTATTTACAAATCTAGTTACCTGAAAAAATGTCGAAAATATTGATCAGTACTTTTGTCACAATTTGTCAATTAATAAATTGTATTTCCTGCAGCGAAAATGGGGCAGCCAGTATCGAAAATTATCCATACGTGGTAAATCCTAAGAGACTTGTCTTGACTTGTCATAACTAGTTTAACATTAATTTTTTACCAATTAGGTTTCGATTCAGGCCATACACACGATTTCTATTTACAACATAACGAATGAATTCCTGCACATTTGCGAAGGCGTCGTCATTCATAAGAGATGGGTTGCTACTGCTGCACATTGCATATCACACAATGGGTAAAAAATAATATAGACTTGTAACAGAAACATAAATAAGAAGAACAGACCAATGTTATGGCAAGGCCATGTTACTTCAGTCAACAAGTCATGTATTTGCTGTGCATTCAGGCAGTTTTACACGTAAACTGCAGCGTCACTCGTATGTTATGAAGCTGGTTCAGAAAGATAGTGTTATCTATAAAAAGGGTTAGAAAGAGAGAGAAAGTGGGGAAAGTAAAGTGAGAAAGAGATTGATAGATATAGAAGGGTGAGAGAGATAGAAGGAGGAAGAGAGATATACAGAGAGAGAAAGTGAGAAAGACGTATAGATAAAGAGAGAAAGTAAGAGAAAGGCGATTGATAGAGAGAGATAGTGATATTAGTAAAGGGAGAAAATGAGAGAGGAATGCATATGAGTAGGGAGAGAAAGTGGTAAAAAAGGGACTCTACTGAAGAGCAAACTAAATTACAAAACAGGAAAGGACTTTACTGACAAGCAAACTAATCTAGAATTAAAAAAGGGACTCTACTGACGAGCAAACTTAATCTAGAATTGAAAATGAACTCTACTGACGAGCAAACTAATCTGGAATTAAAAAAGGGACTATACTGACGAGCAAACTAATCTAGAATTAAAAAAGGGACTCTACTGACGAGCAAACTAATCTGGAATTAAAAAAGGGACTCTACTGACGAGCAAACTAATCTAGAATTAAAAAAGGGACTCTACTGACGAGCAAACTAATCTAGAATTAAAAAAGGGACTCTACTGACGAGCAAACTAATCTAGAATTAAAAAAGGGACTCTACTGACGAGCAAACTGTATGTGGACGAAAGAAGAAAACGGATTCTACTGACGAGTAAATAAAATTTTATTCTAAAAAAAACTAGGAAGGGACTCTACTAGCGGGCAAATTATTATAAACATAAAAAATAAAAAAGATAAGACAACTAAGATGTGAAAATAAAAAAAGGATTCTACTGACGAGCAAAGAAGAAAGAGGACTCTACTGGCGAACAAAAAAAAAGGACTCTACTGACAATCAAATTAAATTTCAATCTAAGAAATGAACAAGAGACTCTACTGACGAGCAAAGAAAAAAAGGATTCTACTGACGAGCAAAGAAAAAAAGGACTCTACTGAAAAGCAAATTAAATTTCAATCGAAAAAATGGACAAGGGACTCTACCGACAAGCAAAGAAGAAAGAGGACTCTACTGACGAGCAAAGAAAAAAAAATACTCTACTGATGAGCAAAGAAAAAAGAGGACTCTACTGACGAGCAAAGAAAAAAAGGACTCAACTGACGACCAAATTAAATTTTAATCTAAAAAATGAACAAGAGACTCTACTGACAGGCAAATTATTATAAACATGAAAGATGAAAACAACGTCCAAAAATATGAGAAACTAGAAAAAGAACTCTACTGACGAGCAAACTCTAAGTCGACCAGAAACAAAGAGGACTCTACTGGCGAGCAAATTGAATTTCAATCTCAAAAAACTAGAAAGGGTCTCTACTGACGAGCAAAGAAGAAAGAGGACTCTACTGACAAGCAAAAAAGGACTCTACTGACGAGCAAATTAAATTTTAATCTGAAAAATGAACAAAGGACTCTACTGACGAGCAAAGAAGAAAGAGGACTCTACTGACGAGGCTTTGGTCAATATTCAGTATGGAAAGTTCTTCATAACATAGCCTTGCCATAACATTTTTCTTTTGTGCGACATGCACTTAATTGTTATTTTCATTTTCAGTGCTTCTCTTCCAAAAGAGAGTCTAAGAGTAGTCGCAGGCGACACTCACCTCCAATTAGGCAAAATGTATTTGTACTCCATGAAGGAACTGGTGTCCTATACGATTGCTAAGGGACACGACATTTGGCACTACATTAAAAGCCTACCTTATGATGTCGCCTTTTTAGAGGTATATAACCATTAGAGCGAGTCCATTTGTATGGGTCAAAAAAAATCGCTTAGGCACACATGATTTTCGGATCAAAATAAGATACTTTGCTGAAGAAACCATACCTCTAAAATGAATTCTGACGTCCCTAGTATCCAAAAATCATATGTGCCTAAGTGACCTTTAAATCTACCCGCCCTAATAACCTTATATCATAACATGATACATCTACGACCTCAAAAATTCACCATTTTCCAGTTAGTAGACTCCATTCCTTCGGATTTCATGGTCGTCTTGGATTTATACGATGGGCAACTGGATCAATTGGATGTATCCAAGTGCGTTACTGCCTATTGGGGATACCAGGTCAACATAATGAGTAAGACTAGTGGTGTATGGCATCGTGCCTTAAGGCAAATTGCTAGAACTTCGCGTACCGTAATAAAATATTCGAGAAATTTTAAACGTTTTCAAATATATTATTACTTTCATTATTTTTGCTATCTTATTGTTATATCTGAGCAAATCGAATGTAAATCATAAATCTCTAGAATTTATCTCCAGGAACATTAACAATCGTCATTTCATTTCGAATTCTATTTAAAAAAAATAGTTGCCTAATTTACTTACACAAAATTGAATAAGTGCTCCCGTATAGTCACAGTCTAAACGCATTTGCAAATAATTCTGTGCGACATTTTCACTTATACTGTGCTTAGCTTGGCGGCATTTATAAGAACTAAAATGATTGTTGTTGAATTAAAGAGGCCAAATTTTAATATATCTTTTTATTTTATTAATTTGAGATTAGTTTGCTCGTCAGTAGAGTCCCTTTTTTAATTCTAGATTATTTATGCTCGTCAGTAGAGTCCCTTTTTTAATTCTAAATTGGTTTGCTCGTCAGTAGAGTCCCTATTTTATTCCTAGATTAGTTTGCTCGTCAGTAGAGTCCCTTTTTTAATTCTAGATTAGTTTGCTCGTCACTAGAGTCCCTTTTTTAATTCCAGATTAGTTTGCTCGTCAGTAGAGTGCCTTTCTTAATACTAGATTAAATTTGCTCGTCAATAGAGTCCCTTTTTTAATACTAGATTAGTTTGCTCGTCAGTAGAGTTCTATTTTATTATTGCAAATCTTTTTGCTCGTCAGTAGAGTCCTAATATATTTGTATAATTCATTTTGCTTGTTAGTAGAATCTTATTTTTTTCGTAAATAAGTTACAGTTACTCTGCATAATAAAGTTTGCTCATCAGTAGAGCCCTATTGGCTTTTTGTAAATAAGTTTGCTCGTCAGTAGAGTTTCTTTTTTTTGGTAATTTAGTTTAGTCCCTTTTTTAATTCTAGATTAAGTTTGCTCGTCAGTAGAGTCCCTTTTTTAATTCTAGATTAGTTTGCTCGTCAGTAGAGTCCCTTTTTTATTTCTAGATTAAGTTTGCTCGTCAGTAGAGTCCCTTTTTTAATTCTAGATTAATTTGCTCGTCAGTAGAGTCCCCTTTTTAATTCTAGATTAGTTTGCTCGTCGGTAGTGTCCCTTTTTTAATACCAGATTAGTTTGCTCATCAGCAGATTATTTTTAATTTTAGTTAAAGTTTGCTCGTCAGTAGAGTCCCTTTTTTTAATTCTAGATTAGTTTGCTCGTCAGTGGAGTCGCTTTTTAAATACTAAAAATGCGTACATACACACACACACACATCCATTTAGTTTCTGAGGTATGTCCTTTAAAAATGTTCAGAAACCTTCAAAACGTCGAGAGATGCAAAAAAA